GTTTTTTTTGTATCCTCCCTGCAGGAACCCCCTCGTCTGCTCTGCAGCCATGGCCACCTCGGCGAGCTCCCACCTGAGCAAAGCCATCAAGCACATGTACATGAAGCTGCCGCAGGGGGAGAAGGTCCAAGCCATGTACATCTGGATCGATGGGACTGGGGAGCACCTCCGCTGCAAAACCCGCACGCTGGACCACGAGCCCAAGAGCCTGGAAGGTGAGAGGGCAGGTGCACGTTTCGCAGCCCCTCGCCGGGTGGAGGACGCGGAAAGGATGCCACTTCTCCCTTTTTGTGGCAGAAGGATGGTTCTGGTGTTTGGGGGAGCTCCTCACCCACTTCCAGGCCATTAATGTGTTGGCAGTTGTCACATCCCAGCGAAGAGGCCACTGGAAAGTATGCAGGCTGGGAGAAGGAGGGGTACAGGAGGAAAGATGAAGTATTTTGAGTCTTTTCTTTCTCTCTTCTGAAGAAAAGATATGGCCAATGTTTAAGAAACAGATTTTTGCTCTGGTATCAGGCACTTCTTAGGGACCTTTTTACCTTTTTTTTTTTTTTTTTTTTTCTTTCTCCTTTCCCCTTTCCCCTCTAAGGGAGTGGTTGGCACAGCTCCTTTGAAATCTTTGTGCTTCCCATCCTCCCACTTTCCCCCCCAGGATATGGAGGAGGAGATAACATTGCCCGGGTGGAGTTTGCTGCTGCTCCCGCTGTGCTTTGGCCCTCGCTGTGCTTTGACCTGGAGAGCGGTGGGCAGCCGGGAGGGGTGGGCGAGGGGGCCAAGCTGGCCATACTCCTCCTCCATATGCGGCTCCACCTACGTGTGGTTTGCTTTCCTACCTTCTCCAGGCCGTGCAACGTGGATAAGGGTATTTCATGGCTCCCCTGGTTCCCACAGCTTGAAGATGTCTCGTGCTCTTGCCCTCTCCCAGTTTGCCCAGCCACGGCTGGGTGCTCTGCTTGTCCCCGTGGTTGTTGCGACATGGGAAAAGTCCTCAGCGCTGCTCGGTTTGCTCGGCCTTGGCCAGCAGCCCAGCTCCTTGTGTTTCCCAAGGTGGCTGGGGAGTTGCACTCCCCTGTTTTTTACTTGTTTTGGTTTTGTGTTTTTGGTTTTCTTTTGTTTTTTTTTGTTTTTTTTTCTTCCCCTATTTGCAACAAAATCAGCTGAGCTGGGATTAAACCTATGACAGGCATGTTCTCAATAAGCATTTTCACCTCTGTAATACTGGAAGGCGGTGGGGAGCCCATCCTGCTGGTGACCAGGGACCCTGGGTCAACCGTGGCTTGTTCCTCTTTCTGCTCCAGATCTCCCCGAGTGGAATTTCGACGGCTCCAGCACCTTCCAGGCTGAGGGCTCCAACAGCGACATGTACCTGCGGCCTGCTGCCATGTTTCGGGACCCTTTTCGCAAGGATCCAAATAAACTCGTTCTCTGCGAGGTCTTCAAATACAACCGCCAGTCTGCAGGTGAGTGGACCTTCTCCCTTCTCCTGGTGGAGGTGGTGTTCCTGGGGAGGGGAAAGGGGGGGTTTATCCAAATGCTGTTTATGCCCTTAGCATCATGCGTGACACAAAAATAATCCTTGTCCTGAAAGTAAAAGGCAAACAAAGTGCTGGTGGTGGACAAAGGGCTGGTCCTGGGATTCTTCACCAGTGCCGCTGGGACTCGGACTGTAAATGGAAGTGGAAATGAGGAATGCAGGTGGAGATGTTCATAAGCCTCATGTCGCTTTTCTGTTCTAGAGACAAATCTCCGATACACCTGCAAGCGGATTATGGATATGGTGTCCAACCAGCACCCCTGGTTTGGGATGGAGCAAGAGTACACTCTTCTGGGGACAGATGGACATCCGTTTGGCTGGCCTTCCAACGGCTTCCCCGGACCCCAAGGTAACCTCTCGGGAGTCTGCGCTGGATGGAGTCAGGGTTCCTTAATGCTGTGTTTGAACTGTAGTCCATGTGATGCAGCTTAAGTGCTTCAGGCGAGCTGAAAGATTCCAGGTGTTCCTAGAGCTGGAGGTGGACAATAGCAAGCGGGATACTGGCAAAAACTAACCCACGACATTAAGGTCATTACAGAAGGGCTAAGATGGTGATTAGCCACGTCCAGATCTGCTGCTTGGTTTGTTAGTCTGCAGGTGATTTAAGACATGACACAGCATGACCCCAGACTGTCGGAGGGACTCATTCTCCATCAGTGCTCTGCTATTGCTTCCATGAAAAACGGATCTGGGGGCTTTTCCACACATCACATGCCTTTGGAGAGTTCTTCCCTGTGTGTGCTTTGTCTTCAGAGAGTTTGGGCCTTTTTCCTTTCTGGAAACTCATGTTCCCCTTGCTGTTCACGTGTGCCATTGCAGGTCCGTACTACTGCGGTGTAGGAGCAGACAAAGCCTACGGCAGAGACATTGTGGAGGCCCACTACCGAGCATGCCTTTACGCTGGCGTGAAAATTGGAGGAACCAACGCAGAAGTGATGCCAGCCCAGGTAAATGCCTTTAGGTGCCTGGTGGAACGAGATAATGCAGAAGAATCCCAGGCAGCGGGAACTTGTGGCTCTGAGCCGTGTAGTTGTATCAACGACCAGAGCGTAAGGGGGTGGGAAGCGTCTTGCTGCGAGTGTCTCTGCACCACTGAGCCACTGACTCTTGCTCCTCATAGTGGGAGTTCCAGGTGGGACCATGCGAAGGGATTGAGATGGGGGATCACCTCTGGATTGCACGCTTCATCCTCCACCGGGTGTGCGAAGACTTCGGAGTCATTGTGTCCTTCGATCCCAAGCCCATCCCTGGGAACTGGAATGGTGCTGGTTGCCACACCAACTTCAGTACCAAGAACATGAGGGAAGATGGAGGTCTCAAGTAAGTTTTTTGAGATGGGCTGGTGGCATCCATTTGCTAGGTGGCAGGCTGGACTTGGTAACAGTGAGTTTTTTGCAGACCTTTGGCCCGTGCAGGAGACATTGCTCTGGTGCTTGGCATTATGTCTGAGCCCTTTTTTTCTGGATATATATTTTCTTTTTGTTTTTTGTATAATTATATACTCCCATCTTGCTGTTGGGTGGGAAGTTCAGCCAGCAGTCCAGCTCCATCAGTGTTGATGGAAGCCAAGATGCAGCTATTCATAGCAGGCTGTCCGGCTCTTCATCTGCCATTGCTGCAAACAGATACACTCAGCATAGGCCTTTTTTTTTCCATAACCATGATGTAAGAGAAAGACCATTTGCTTCTGTCTGGGCCAGGCAGTGGAAGCTAATGCCATGTTTTCTTAAACAACGAGGTCCTGGAAATGTAAACCGCTCGTTCCATTGTGGGACTCGTGTGGAGTGCAGGCAGGGACCTTACAGCTCTTGGTTGCAGTGGAGCTCTGTGAAGGGATTCCTCCTGACAGCTGTGTTTTCTGGTCTTAATCTTAGTGATGCCCTGAGATGATGAGCCAGTCTGTGACCATGTGAGCTTCCCAAATAGCAACTTCTGTGTTAAGGTCTCTCCCCTGTGAGAGCAGGTTCGCCAGGGCAGTGTGTCTCTGGGATTTGGCCATGGTTTGAACTGGTGATGTCCCACATGCAGCACTCCCAAGGGACCTTCTCAGGCCACAGAGACAGTTTTTCAAGAACCAGTCTGGGTCCAGAAGTAGGAGTGGAGAAAAGCCCTGTGTTGAGATGGTCAGAAAAATGGGCTGTAGGGTGCAGGCTTCAACATGAAGTGGCTTGGGGACAGCAATGAATCTGCCATGGTGTGGATGCAAGAGTCAAGAATGGCTCAGCTTGTACTGTCCGTCAGGTGCTCACTGTCTTCTCTTCCTCCTTGCTCCCTTCACAGGCACATTGAAGAGGCCATCGAGAAGCTGGGCAAGCGTCACCAGTACCACATCCGTGCCTACGACCCCAAAGGGGGGCTGGACAATGCCAGGCGCCTGACGGGTTTCCACGAGACATCCAACATCCACGAGTTCTCCGCTGGCGTGGCCAACCGCGGTGCCAGCATCCGCATCCCTAGGAACGTGGGTTATGAGAAGAAGGGCTACTTCGAGGACCGCCGGCCCTCTGCCAACTGTGATCCTTATGCTGTGACAGAGGCCCTCGTCCGCACGTGTCTCCTCAACGAAACTGGAGACGAGCCTTTTGAGTACAAGAACTAAGCGGACTGGGCCCACAGACACCGCCTTCCCCCCGCACTTCCCGCACCCCTAAACATCCCTTCTAGATGTAATCCCAAGGGTACAAGATAACACGTTTCGTTTCTCAGTAACTCTTGTTGTCTTGAGGTGGGGAGGAGGGCAAATATAGTTTTATCGATGTCTGTTTGTCATTGACTCTTCAGAAGACAAGAGAAGGAGAAGGTGTTAGAGAACTTTTAACCACTGTTTTATGTTTTGTCTAATTCATGTGTACATCTGATGGGATCCAATGGCTTCCAGGGACAGACTGCGCACACAAAAAGCCAGTAGGCGAGTGGAGAGCTTAAAACTGTAGCTGACTCCCCCCAGCAGTCAAATTTGGCATGTTAGCCACACCGCTGGCTGTCTGCTGAAGGATGGTTCTCTAAGGTTGGTGCCCTTCTGTGGAGAAGGGAAGATGGGAGCTGTGATGGAGCCCTGCGTGCTCCTGCCTTGTATGGTGTGATGGGGAGATCTTCACCCTCTGGCCGCTCTGAGGTTTCTGAATCTTCTGGCATTGAGCTCAGCATAGGAGCGTTGAGGAGAACTCCTGGTTCTGTCACTGGAAGTCAACTGGTGTCTGGCTCATAACACAGAGTGAAGTAGTATTTTTCTATTTAAATATAAAAACAACAAAAAAAATTATATATGAAAGTGGTTTTTTTTTTTAAGAGATGATGTTCCGAAGACTCACCTGGCTAGAGCAGGCAGAGCTCCTGAGGATGCTGTTGGAGGGCCTCCAGGTGGGCCTGAGGGTGAGCTTGGAGGGCTCGGTGGAGGAGACTCGGATGAGATTTGTTTCAGCATGGAGCGGAGTTTGCAGGAGGCAGTTCCCAGACCCGGGAAGCCCACAGAAGCATTTATCACTGTAACTTGAGCAGCCGTGACACACTTATGAGTGTGTTAGATCAACAGGAGGAAGGCATCCTGAACTAAGAGTTGACTGGTCAACTTAACCAGGTTCTGGACAGAGCTGTTCAACATTTGCAGCGGGGCTAGCATGTCACTAAAGCAGGGCTTTTGATACAGGAAAGAAAAAGTTTTAGATTTTTTTTTTTTCTTTTCATAATGTTCTTAGTTTCTAAAACTGAATGGTTTTAGAGAGACCGTTGATGTCACTGTTGTGTCCTGGCTCTCGAGCTGCCTGCTGTGATGGGGGCTAGGAGAAGGGAGAGGCCACCTGTCCCTCCCGGCCAGCCCTGGCACCTCCCAGCTCATGCCAGGAGGTTCAAACGTTCTGGGATTTTACACTTGGGTATCTTAGATGGTGCCAGTTATATTCCGTTGCATTTGG